AATATAAATACAAATACATGTATTTTATTTTTCCTCTAAAATACAAAAATACAAATACATGTATTTGTATTTTTGTATTTTGTATTTTAGAAATACTCTGTATAATATATAACTTACTATATATATACGTTAATTGCTTAATTCTCTTATGTAGTAATGATCTTTGTCCTGCTTACGACTCCCTTCTCCTTTACGTAGGATACTGCCCAATACCTAGTCCCTGTGTCGTGACACATTCAATGCCGTGGCAGTGGCAGCAGCGCCCTAGTTTTGGTTGACCGGGTCAAAACGTCTCAAGGCAACCTCTAGGCTGTCCATGTCGGGTCACCCCTACTACCCATCCCACGCAGAGGTGCGCACAGGATGCCCTCACCTCATATTATAGCGTCGGCCGCTTTCTCGAACGCAGGCACGGCGCAGTCCCAGTCGTATTACCACCATCTCAATCACCCTGACCAGGATCAGGACCAGGACCACCGATATTTGCCCCAGCAGGCCCAGCAGACCCATCGTCCGCATCCCTTGTGGACGCAGCAACAGCAGTCATACCAGAAACAGCACAGACTGTCTCGATCGTTTCCCTCGTCAACCAACCAATTGCCTGCCCCTCGCTACCACGGCATACGCTCCGACCGACCGCAGGCTCCGGTCTCATCTTCGCTTGGTAATCGTCTCGACGTAGGCACTGGTACGGGCACGGGCATAGGCACAAGCATATACTTTTCGCGAAAGACACCTTCACCACTTCCTCGAACTTCCTCGCTTCTCCCATCCTCACAGCCGTCCGCGCAATTCCCGCTAACAGGATTCGATGCCGTAACATACGAGAGCACTATCCCACACCCCAGTATCGATTCCCAAGCTCCGTCATACGTTATACCCTTCACTGCACATTCACGCTCTAGTAGCATTGCTTTGTCGGCTGAGGAAGACAGAAACCTGAATCGCTGGTCTGCTTCTACAACATCGAGTCGAAACTCTGCCCAGAACCACCACGCAAACAGTATTCACGCGCGCCGTTCAAGTGTTGATCCTTCTGCACTATTTCCACCTAGCAGCACCCTCACCAAAAGCCAGTCGCTCCAAAGATTGCTGGGAGGCAGGAGACGCTCCAGTTCTAGCGAGACATCTTGGGGAGCATACAGTAGTGGCAGCCGTTCGCGTACCTACTCACCCGCCGGGCCAGCGCGCGCCGATCGCCTATCCACTGTCTTTATACCACATCAGCTTGACTTTCCCTTTGGTACCGAACCACCGCCTGGCGGATACGCTACGAGGCCGCCACCAGGTGCATCTCGAGCTTACAAGGGCCCTTCTGGAGTTGAGAAAAACCAAGTCTGGGATGCATTCTCCGGCCAGGGCCGGAGAGGATCAGCCGAACCGGGCCTACAGCAGCTACCTTACACAGGTATGTCGTCCGATCACAATGGAGAGGCCTCTCAGGTGAGAGGTCACTCTCGTAACCGGTCCCAGACGGCCGCCAAGGGGAGTACAGACACCACCGGATCTTCGCGTGAAAGGGAAAGAGGAAACAGACCACCGTCCCAGAAAGCCATGCTTTCCCGGGCACTCCAAAAAGCGAACACGGCGGTCCAGTTGGACAATGCGCAAAATTTTGAAGGCGCGAGGCATGCTTATGCAGAAGCATGCGATCTTTTGCATCAAGTCTTAGCCAGGACCTCGACCGATGAAGATAGACGGAAACTTGAGGCGATTGTAAGTGAATCTATGGTATTGAGTATAAACTGTCTAGGAGTATAGCGCTGACTAGGTGTTAGCGCCGAACGTACACCAGCCGCATCGAAGAATTGGACCAGATGGCTCCCATCCAGCTAGAGTCAGAAGGAAAAGCACTGCCAGCGAGACCTGAAAGCTTGGGCCTGCGCTTGAACCCCAGCTTGCAGTTTGACGATGACAACGACCTCGAGGAGCCTGCTGGCCTTGAAACTGCGACTCTTAACAGGATTTCGAGGGATGGGAGTCGAAGTTCACCGAATTACGGAGGCCCGGGGTTACCCATTTCGCGGATGCAAACTCTCGGAGAACTCTCGAAAAACTCTGCAAGGGTGTCAGAGCATTATACTCTGCAGTCCTCCTTTTCGAGATCATCACTCCGTGATCGTGCATCAGACGAGCAACTCATCTTCCAAATGCCCGCTGAGGATACTTCTCTGCCCCGGCCACTTTCACCGCAAAGACCTTGGTCTCCCAAACTTGATGACCGAAGCAACCCAGATGGGCCTGTGAAATCCGACTTTTTACTCACCGCAAGGCGGACTAATCAGAGTCCTCGTCACATCCGAAACTCCAGCCGAGAGTCGAACTCCTGGTTAGACCCCATTGACGAGTCCGGGGGTTCCACAGCCTCATCTATCCACTCCCGACCCTCTTCTGCCATTGTGAGGCGGAAACACATTCGCTCTCCCAGCGGCACAACTGAAGCTGAGTTTGACGCAGCATTGGATGCAGCCGTCGAAGCAGCTTATGACGATGGATACGAGCCCATGGGATTTTCGGACCCGGAAGGCCATGGATTGGACGACCCTGTTCTGGCCAAAGCATTGCGCAAAGTCGAGCTCGCCAAAGAACGTGTCCGGCGAAACGAAAGAGAAGCTTTCGAGCAAGCGAATGGGATACAACAGCGCGAACAGAGCCTAGCAGAACAAGAATTCGATGAAGATGTCATACATGAAGATTTTTATGACGATGGATCTTCTGATGAGGAGGAGCGTATCCTGGAGGAAATGACGCACGACTACTCAGTAGACCAGTTTGCTTTTAACCTGGCATCTCACCAGGCTGCGGTCAGGAACTCGGGCTCTAGCGACTTGGCTGAATCGGCTTGGAAAGCGACTGTGGCATCAACAAACACAGTAGCCGCGGATGTTTCCACATCGCCGACCGATCCCAGTGGCACAACTCATTTTCCTGGCGCCGGAAGCCCGAAGGCTCCACCTCCATTGCAGGCCTTACCAGAACTGCCTGTTAAAAAGCCTTTCTCGGCGACAACCTCATCGCCGGGGCCTGGGCAGAGTGTGCGGAGTAGACGGATGTCAGGGCAAAATCCCAAGCAACTAAAAATTGAGACTTCCAAGCTGTCGCAGTTTGGCGACCCTGGCCGGCGGTATAGTGTTGCTCAGGCACCGAGCGGGACTCATGGGATTGAATTCGATACTCTCGACATGACCGGCCCAGCCGACATGAATGATACGGTCGGCCGGCCATACTCGCCGCCGGAAGGCATAAGCCCCACTCAGCCAGTACCTCCCACGCCGCCGTTCGGTCATACTAGAAGTCGGGACAGCGAGGACTTCACTGGGAGCCATACCGGCTCGCCGTCCTTTAGGCCTCCTCTAAGGAAGAATTTCTCATCTTCGAGTCTAAGAAGTATGAAGAATCGCAACATGTCATTGTCCAACCTGGATGACGCATCTGACATGTCGCCTGGTACTCCATTAAGCACCGGCTTCGGCATCAACAGCAGGTACCCAGCAATGCCAACGTTGCCTACGCCCTTAGCGGCAGCTTTTAGAGACAAATTTACGTCGAGCTCTGCTGGCGGCTTATATCTCTTCGATGACAGCCTCCATTCGCCGCAGAGCCCGGGATCGCCAAATCCACTTCAGGGCGATGCCCCGGTTCCACTCGAGCCCTGTCCAACAGACTATTTGTTAAGACCATTCTGGCTAATGCGGTGCTTATACCAGACACTGGCCCACCCCCGTGGGGGTTATTTGAGCAATAAGCTGTTTGTTCCACGAGATGTGTGGAAGGTGAAAGGCGTTAAGATCCGGAACGTAGAGGACAAGGTGGCAACGTGTGATTATCTCACAGCGGCGCTTCTCAAGTTGGCGAGGGTTGACACATGCGATGCCGATGCCGTACTTGAAGAGATGCAGTATTTGGAGGGCATCTTGGAACAAGTTCAAGCCAACTTGACGCGAAAGCTGGGGACCGATGTTGGCGTTCAAAATTCCAGCATGCTCTTTCGAGATGCGTCAAACTCGGCCGAGATCGAAGCAGCAATCAGCGTGCCACGCTCAGGCAGTGTTTCAGGGAAGTCTTCGTCCTTTTCATGGCGTAGATTGCGATCCAAAAATTCGGCAGCGGGCTTAAACAACTCGTTTAACGCCAAAGGGAACGGGTTAGAAAGTGGTAAAGAATCTCCAGGTCCGGAGACGCTACCCATGACGGACCACCCAACGAGTCGCCCGTCAAAGAGAGATCCGGGCAATGCGCAGTTCACAGGACCAAACGCACATTATATGGGGTCCCTCGCCCGACTGTTCGATGCTGCTCAGACAATTGGTAGGACATGTCATATTGCTTTACATGTGTTCCCAAAGACCATAAACTAACTGACTATCTGTAGATCAAATCGCACGCCAGGTCGAAGATCCTGGGTTGAGGCATGCCGACAAAACACAGGTTGGCCTTGAGCTGTGCACTCGACATGCGGCAGAGTTCTTCGGTTTTTTTATCTGCCGCTTTGTGCTATCCGACCTTAGTCTGTTGTTAGACAAGTTCATCAAGAGGGGAAGTGAGTGGGTTCTTGCATGAATAATCGACGGGAGGATATACTGCGACTTACTTCGATGGCATGGGACGAAGCATGGACACATGATGCAAGCGTTCAACAGAGCGACAATACGAAGTATCATATCAGGTTTAATCATCAGTACCATCCGTAGTAGGAGGTAGTTCAAAGGGGCAATCAAGAAGGCCCTACAATAGAAACGGGGCGAGAACTCTACATGCGGGGGAATCTTGGTTTTCATAGTACAGCCAGGAACTTGATGCAACAATATACCCAAATCTTATCTGCATTTTATCAATACCCAAAAAGCTGTAGTGAAGTTGACACCTTGACTAAGGCACCACCCAGCTGATGAGGAGTTGATGTTCGAAAGCCGGGACTAATTACTTTACAAGCCGTTACTGAAAGCACCTCTCCCGTCGCCAAGGGTTCTGGCCAATTAAAGCGTCGTTAAGCGCTGCAATTTGGAACCGGACCCACCCCCCACCTAAGCTCGAATTATCGGTGGTTCCTGCATCTAAGGTAGCCAAAGCCAAGCCTATATCCAAGGTAGGTCCTACTTACGGCAAGCTTCACACCTTGTCATCTCTGTCACTTGATCTTTCAAACAGCGAGTTTGAGCCTGCTCGATGCTGAGAAGTACACCTTGATGCGCGGCCCCCCAGCGACGAGCGTGCGCTTTACGCGGGACCGGTTGGTCAGTGTTCCACGCCAATTGCGACGACAGCTTCATCAGCCTAGCCTTACCTCGGCGTTATACACTGCTGTTACTTGCAGGAACATTTCTGCACGACAGCAACAGCACTGGCCGCTGCAACAAACCACGTCGGAATGGAGTTTCTGTGACAGACGGTTCTTCCACAACGGCTCGCCGAGTTATGCAAAGCCTACAGCGCCTTCACGTTCCGCCCTTGAAGAACGAATTCTTGCCATTCCCATCGAACGGTATCGGAACTTTTGTATCGTAGCTCACATCGATCATGGCAAGAGTACACTGAGCGACCGTCTGCTGGAAATCACCGGCACTATATCCGCTAGCGATTCGAACAAACAGATTCTTGTGAGTGCGTTCTACATGCATACGAATAAGGCTGAGAAGCTGACTGAAGCCTCTCTCCTCCATAGGACAAGCTAGACGTCGAACGCGAGCGAGGCATCACAGTCAAGGCACAGACTTGCACCATGATATACAATCACAATGGAGAGGATTACCTGTTGCATCTTGTTGACACCCCTGGTCATGTCGATTTCCGAGCCGAAGTAACGCGGTCGTATGCGAGTTGCGGTGGTGCATTGCTGCTGGTCGATGCCAGTCAGGGTATACAGGCCCAAACCGTCTCCAACTTCCACCTCGCGTTTGCTCAAGACCTTGCTCTTATTCCTGTTGTCAACAAGATAGACATGCCTTCCGCCGATGTGCCCCGAGTTCTGGAGCAGATGCACACATCGTTCGAGCTGGAACCCTCTGCAGCCGTTCTCGTATCAGCCAAGACTGGCAAGAATGTGGCCAATATCCTGCCCGCGGTTGTGGAGAAGGTGCCTCATCCCGTCGGTGACATTTCTAAGCCCTTGCGGGTACTGCTGGTGGATTCGTGGTACGATAACTTCCGGGGTGTCATTCTTCTTGTTCGGGTGTTCGATGGACAGGTCAAGGCCGGTGACAACCTCACCTCCTTCGCAACTGGCTATAAATACACCGTTGGTGAGGTTGGCATACAATATCCAAATCCTGTTCCACAAAGTGTTCTCCGAGCTGGACAGGTTGGCTACATCTATTTTAACCCCGGAATGAAGCGCATTCAGGATGCGAAACTTGGCGACACATTCACATCCGTTGGGTCGGAGGACATGGTCAAGCCGTATCCGGGCTTCGAGGAACCCAAGCCGATGGTTTTTGTCGCAGCATTTCCCACCGATCAGGGTGACTATACACGCCTCGCAGACAGTATCAGTCAGCTGGTTCTTAACGACAGAAGTGTTACCTTGCGGAAGGATTATTCCGAGGCACTGGGAGCGGGTTGGCGGCTGGGTTTCCTCGGCAGTTTGCACTGTTCTGTCTTTCAAGATCGACTGAAGCAAGAACATGGCGCCAGCATCATCATCACCGACCCGACTGTGCCAACCAAAGTCGAATGGGCCGACGGGTCGGAGACAATATACCAAAATCCGGCTGAATTTCCTAGTCAGGATGAGCACCGGATGCGCGGTGCAACCGTGTACGAGCCGTACGTTCACTGATTCTCCCACATGCCCTGTCACCGTTCTCGCCACTAACTTTACCTAGCTTTGTAACAGCCACAATGACTCTTCCGGAGGAGTATTTGGGCCGAGTCATAGAGCTCTGCGAAAGTGTGCGCGGGGAACAAAAGAGTTTCGAGTTCTTCCACGCCACACAGGTCATTTTAAAGTACGACATACCTGCGGCTCAACTGGTTGACGATCTGTTTGGTAAATTAAAGGGCGCCACGTAAGTTACCACAATATTGAATGACTGCGGTCTTGCACTTACACTTGGGGCAGCAAGGGGTATGCAACATTAGATTACGAGGATTCTGGTTGGCGAGCCAGTCAGCTCACAAAGCTGCAACTTCTTGTCAACAAACAGCCCGTTGATGCAATCTGCCGTGTCATACACATCTCTCAGGCCGAGCGCCTTGGTAGGCAATGGGTAACCAAGTTCAAAGAACACGTTGATCGGCAAATGTTTGGTAAGCGTTCCGTTATATTGTGACTTGAAGTAGTGGTCTGACGTATCTTCCTTCAGAGGTCGTCATTCAGGCGGTAGCTGGAAAACGCGTCGTTGCCCGCGAAACCATCAAACCCTTCCGAAAGGATGTGCTCGCAAAGCTTCATGCTGCTGATATTACGCGCCGAAAGAAGCTGCTGGAAAAGCAGAAGGCTGGCCGTAAGCGTCTGCGTGCCGTTGGAAATGTTGTCATCGACCAGTCCGCCTTTCAGAGCTTTCTTTCCAGGTGAGAAACATGCTGTCTTTGGGGGTGGCTTGCTCAGAGGATTCTGTCTAATGACAGCATTTCATGTGAGAGCGTCTCTGTTGTCTTAAAACATGTAAAAGTTTGATGTAGTCATATTTACGACCCTCGCAATAAAACCATATTCTTTACAGCAACGCACTACTTGATATCTACACGATTTGCGCTAGTTACTGGTCTTATCTTCAGGATATATTTCGGGAGCTGGCAATCCAGAGCCAATGACAACAGGATCAGTCCAAGATTTGCCGAGCCCACCCCTGAGGGTCGATTCTAGCTGCCTAAGCTTTGGCGGCTGGTCGATGCTTTCGTCCTCATCTAGCTCAAATATTCTATAATCTCCATTGAAGAACCAGTATCCCGTTACACCAAGGCGCAAGAAACCGGAATGGGAAACGACAAATATGAGCTTTTCCTTGCGCTCGCGAATGCCACGAATACCCGCCCGAGCGCGCCTCATGATGGCTTCCTTTGTAAACGCATATTCGGCTCCAGAAAGAGACGTCTTATCTGGATATACACGATCTACGGTGGAAAAGTCGACGCTGGGAAACTCGGCCTTCAGGTTGGCGATGCTGCTGCCCGTGTCACATGGTTTCGCCGAATTCTCTGGTGAAGATTAGCAAAGTGTTCCCTGATCACCTTCTCCTTTGGAAGAATGTCTTGCGGTTCAATAATTTTTATTATTATCTTTACCTTGCCATCGGGCATCGGCCTGTATGTGCACACCCTTTTTGATCAACCAGTCTAGAGACAAGAGAGCGGTCTGAATCGTTCGTCTCATCGGGCTAACGATGATGAGAGCATCCGTCTCATTGCCGAAACGCTGCAGCAAATGCTCCCTCAGCTCTCGGCACTGCTCTAAGCCCAGTGCAGACAAGTCGGGATCATGAATGTTCCAGTCCTGTGCTGGTATGTTAGACAATGGCGGGCTTAAGTAATTGACACAGAGATGACTTATGATCGACGTTGTGGAGGGCTTGAGCATGGCGGATGAGCACTACGGTCTGTGGCATTTTGGGAACTTCGTGTAGTGTGAATTGGTAGGAGAGTTTTGATTCCTTTGAGGGTGAGCAATGGGGACTTTGTTAATATCCTTCGTCACCTCGTCGCTGACAGGCAACCAAGCCATTAGCGTATACGGACAGGGACGTACATAGTAAATATCATAGATCGTATGATACTAGCAGATAACACTGTATATATAGTATATGCATAGTTACATATAATCGCACTTTATTTCCTTCAGTAATGCAATGCCGCCCAGGTACGTACATGTTTGGTTTTACAGGCAGAGACCCGACCGAAGCTGCAGAAGTGGATCTTGAGCCAAGCTAGCAGAGGTGCAGCCCGGAAGCTCCTAGGTAGTACCCCGGCAAAGCCTCTTGTCGTCAAAGCATCAAAAGCTGCTGAGCCAGTGTCAGATGGCGCATCAACAACACCCGCCAACTTTGCCCTCACTCGAACCGCCTAGTGTTATCGAGTTCTAGAAAAGGCCAACATGTCCGATGTCGCAGAATTATTTAGGGTGAGTCCATTTCCCCGTCCGTACTTTGCAATCGCTTGCTGACCAGTCGCAAAAGGCTGGCGGTGCTGGAAAGAGGAAATTTGACGCAGTACGGGATCCCAGTGAGTTGCTCTCCTTATCATTCCAACGCTGTTCTACAACTGGAGCAGTCAGTTAACAGAAAGAAGATGAAATATACAAGTCAGCCAAGCTGAGCGCAGCTGATGCTGTCAGTCGGCATGCGAGCGCAGAAGATGCAGCAGAACATGAGGGTGTCGCTGTCGGATCGCCACTTGCACCTGGAGTCAACGAGGATGACGATTACGGACCTGAAATGCCGCCCGATGACGAAGAAGGCCGATTTTTTGGCGGAGGGATCACACAGCAGGAATCTGAGATACTCGATTACGTAGACGGCCGCGGTGAGGAGTCTAATGCCCCCGACAAGATCGACGCTAGTTGGGTCCGGAAAACGGCACTCAACTTCGAAAAGCGCATCACCAAAAACGCCGAGTTACGCGCAAAGTTTGCCGATGATCCTCAAAAATTCATTGAAAGCGAAGCTGATCTCGACACCGCTATCAAGGACCTATCCATCTTAGCAGAACACTCCGAATTATACCCCCACTTCGTGAAGTTAGGATGCGTTGCGAGCCTGGTTGGCTTGCTGGCCCACGAAAACACGGACATAGCTATCGATGCTGTCGAAATCATCGGTGAGCTCATTGACGAGGACGTCAACGCAGCCGACGAAGACTGGGACTCTCTTGTCGACGCGCTTTTGGATGCAGACTTGATCGGCCTACTTGTGTCAAACTTCTCCCGTCTGAACGAGGACGATGAATCAGATCGCAATGGCGTCTACTACGCTCTTGGGGTCATAGAGAATTTGTTGTCCAAAACGACAAACGCGGAAAAGGTGGGACAGGACACGATGCTGGTTAAATGGCTCCTGGAAAGGGCACAACGACAGGAATTCCCGGTGTCTCAAAACAAGCAGTACTCTGCGGAGCTCCTAGACATCATCGCGAACGCTTCGCCGGTGACACGGCAGAAGTTAGCTGAAATGGATGCTGTCGACGTCTTGCTGCAGCTGGTGTCGGCGTATCGTAAACGCGACCCCGAGAAAGGAGGCGAGGAGGAAGAGTTCATGGAGAATCTTTTCAACGCTCTCGTCTGCATTGTAGACGAGCCGGAAGGCAAAAGAAAGTTCCTTGAAGCCGAAGGTATCGAACTGTGCCTGATCATGCTCAAGGAAGGCAAGATGAGCAAGCAGCCAGCGATGCGTCTTCTTGTGCATAGCATCAACGACGATATGAACGGTGAACTTTGTCGGAAAGTGGTGGATGCCGGAGGTTTGAAAGTGCTTTTCTCAACCTTCAAAAAGACGACGCAGCAACAGCGGGTGATGACGGAGAGCCTTTTCGACATATTCAGGTCGCTGTTGCGTTTTCTGCCTGCTGATTCTGCCGAGAGAATCCGTACATTGGCCAAGTTTGTTGAAAAGGACTACGAGAAGCTGGATCGGCTCTACGAGTGCAGAACAAGATATACGTCCAGGCTCGATGCGCAGGACAGGAAGATCCAGCAGGAACGAAGTCGTCTGAGTGCCGAAGAGGCCGAGGATTTGGAGAGCGAATGGTATCTGGGGAGAATAGATGAAGGTCTTTACAGCGTCTGGAACATCGACGTGGTTTTAGCGTGGCTTATTGCCGAAGATGCTGGCGCGAAAAAAAAGGTACAGAGACTATTGGCCGCAGACGGCAAAGGGCTGGCGACCATCAAGGCGACACTGGAGGAGTACCAACGTGACCTTGACCTAGATAGGCCAGAGCATAAAGACCTAGCGGATATGCTCGCAACGCTCATGGACTTCTTACACTAAACAAGGGAAATTTGAAGGGATTCAGGTTAGCTAGGTGTAATTCTGAAGATACCACTATAACCGCCACCGGATCAAAGTGAGGTGTATCGCCGCCAAAGTTCTCGGTAGCCTAGTTGGTAAAGCTATCGTCGCACTGGGTTTCTGGGCTGCTTTCTTACAACCGTGTCCACCTAAACATGTTTCTGCGGCCCTTCCGCAAGACCACCGACTTCCATTGTGTTTACTCAAGAGGTATACCATGGTTTGGGCCTCGCACTTCCAGTATGTTCGGTTGTCATATAGGGAGTTGGCATTTGTTTATGCGGCACTTGGTGCAACAGGCTTGACCTCGAAAACGGCCTTCAGGAGATCAGCGACAACCTTGTCCTGGCTCTTCTTTCCAGCATCCTTGATCTCTTTGATCTTCTCCTCGGCCTCGTTGTTCGCCTCGTCCTCGGCCGCTTTATTTCCTTGGGAGTGCTACAGGGACTCGTTAGTATTTCATCCTTGTTGCCGCCGTTTGATAAAAGATAAGTGCCGTACCTCGGACTCGAACTTCTTGAACTCTTCCTCCTTAGAGTTGCGGTATGCCTCGATTTCCTTCTTGGCTTCGTCGCGGGCTTCCTTTACTCTCTTTGTACGGACTAAGAAATACGGCATGAGTATGTAGCAGTATGCTATCAGATTGGTTCGAGTCGGGGGACCTACACTCTCGGGCTACGGGCGCATTCGTTAGTATGGTCGGGCTTGAATCAATGTATTTCCCAAGAGCAGCATACCTTTCTGGACAATCTTGGAGGCTTCTCTCTCCGCCTGCGTCCTTGAAATTAACAACAAAGTTGACGGAGATACCCGCGAAAAGGTGTACGTACGTCCAGAAGGGTCTGGATACCGGCCGAGTTCTGAGCCGACTGTAGAGCATCAAGTCAGCATCCTGCCAGCCAGAAGAATGACGTTTCGCGTTCGCATCAGGCATCCTGACCATTGTATAGGGCCGTCGTAGGTAGACTGGCAAGTGTAGGAAGAAATCGGCGTCAGATAGAGGACGAGAATTAGAGATGCCAGCCGTTGGATGTCGTGAGGTGATCAATATGGGGAAGGTGTCGATAGCTTGTAGTTGTCGACAAACACAATCAATCAGTGGGAGAGACAGCTCCAGTGAGAGGATGAGGTACGTCGCTGTCGATACGCTAAGATTACAGTGCACTGCTGTAAGGCTTTAGGCACTGTACGCGAGTACACTATACCTCCCACGAAGCATCAGAGTGGAGCAAGAACCGGTCGAGACCCCACCCCAGAGTGTCCAGGTAGGATCTTATCCACTACCCTCTCTGTACCTAGGTAGAGCTGACATACAGATATACACTCAAGGTAGGCAATGCATACATATGCAGCTAACCGTCCCAGAGCCACCAACGATAATTTCTACCTGTTTGATACTTGTGGACTTCCGTTCTTAACACCTTGTAGCCTTAGAACTAACCCGGCGGGCAGATCCCCCTTGGAAACGAGGTTCAACCCCCGATATAAGACTACTTCGACCACGGATGTCAAGGCTGTCGCCCTCGAACCGCGTAACGACTGAACCGTCGTCGGCTCTGAAGACTAAAAATAAGGACACTGCCTGTTGACTATCATGTCCCGGGCCTCGAAACTCACCCTTGCGGCGACGTCGCTCTTTGCTGCCAGCACCATCGTCGTCGTGCATTTCCAACAAAAATTCGAGAAAGAGGCATGCACTTTTTCCATGCGAAGGCTTCACCTCGCCTCTTTCTCTCCAAAAAGTAGCTGACCAAAGACTTGCAGGCCATGCACCAAGGAGTTGTTCGCGATATTGAACAGCAGCGCATCAAACGAGAGCGCCAACTCGACTTTGACATGCAGCGCGCTCTTGAAGAAGAGTACAAACGAGAGCAGACGGTCCGAGATGTGACTGCGTCCATACCACCCGACGGCGCGGGTCGGTAGCAACAGCCCTCACGGACAATCTATTCTTGCTCCGGTAACGAGGCTGTCGTGTTAACTGGCGGCATACCAGACGTCTTATGAAACAGCATGCTGTAAGATAGGGGCTGAATGACCCGGGAGGAATAAAACGCAAGACACAGAGATACACAACTTCGACCCAAGCCAAGCTGGGGGACGAAACGGGCACACCACACCGACTGATAATAGCCCCAAGCCCAATTGTTGCCGTCTTGTTCGTGCACACCATCGTAACCTGCTTGAGCTGCTGTCGTGATGGCTTTTGGTACTCTAGATACCGGATACGACCAATATGCGAAGGAGTCATGTAGTTCAACATTGTAATGTGTATGTATATTCTCACTTGTACAATAGTATCAAATATTTGAGGCATCCAGCATCCTGTTCTTGAATACCTATTCTATCTATCCTTTTTTGCTCTTTGGGATGGTACATGTCATTAGTGCAAGACACACATAGAGGCGTCCATTTGCTATTCTACCGCCCGCCAACAATATGACTTGGGTGGCTGGAACTATTCCCCGGCCTCCAAGACGCCAAATGCAATCACCTAGAAAACTTCTGTCGCTGCCTTTCTAGGCCCGTCGCATCTCGCACGTTGCAGCCTTTCTCGCAAGAACCCATCTTCAGTGCCTAATCCCCTTGTGCTAAAATCCCTTTTACCTGATAGAGACTCCGGACCTGTTGGTGAACATGCGAGCTGCAATGTTCATCGACTGCAGCTCCTGGAAGAGAAGTTTCGCCGCATATGGAATGTGAATCTGCGCAATCTTCGTCTTGTTCTTGCATGGCCGGCACTCAAATGACTGCTTGGAGAGGTTTCTATTCTCTGGTTAGCACGCTGATCTGCTGCATGGAGGGATGTAAGGGAAGGGAACGCTTACGCGATAGGCGTCATTAAGCCGCAAATCTCGCAAACATGCACTCGGAATGCATCTGAGACTTCAAACAGTCTCTCCTTGAGAAAGGATGCAGCACCGTGAGCAATCATACAATCACGCTCCATCTCTCCGAAACGCAGACCACCGTCACGTGCACGGCCCTCCACTGGCTGTCTGGTCATGATTTGAACGGGGCCGCGAGCACGAGCATGGATTTTGTCATCGACCATGTGACGCAGCCGCTGGTAGTATGTCGGTCCAAAGAAGACCTGAGCTCGCAGCTTCCGTCCGGTGTGACCGTTGTACATAATCTCGAATCCTCGCGACTGATATCCCTGATCCCGAAGGAGCTGCGATACTGAATCCACTGTCACGTCCGTGAAGGGGGTGGCATCACCCTCCATGCCCTTTAGGGTCGAAACCTTACTAAGCAGACACTCGATCAAGTGAGCAATGGTCATACGAGACGGAATAGCGTGGGGATTAATGATGATGTCAGGCGTGATGCCCTCGGCGGTGAAGGGCATATCCTCCTGCCGATAGGTAACACCAATGGTACCCTTCTGACCGTGACGCGACGCGAACTTGTCGCCAATCTGCGGAATCTTGGTTGTCCTAACACGGACCTTGACATAACGGAGACCGTCTTGGTTAGTGGTGACAATGACCTGGTCCACGATACCGTTTTCGGTGCTTCTGAGAGGAGTAGACGCGTCACGTTTGACGTGTTGTGTTGTCCGCTGGCCAAGTTCTGCGTTGTCCGGACTGATGGGCGACGTCTTTCCGATGATAATGTCTTCTCCTGAGACACGAACACCGGGAGCCACGATACCATCGTCGTCCAGCTTGTCATATGTGCCATGTTTCAGACGCAACGTGTCACTTCTGAACGGCTTCTCAAACTGCTCGACCAGGTTGATTCCCACACGCTTCTCGCAGTCCGTGTAGGATCTGAAGAACAAACTTCTGAAAAGGCCACGATCGATGCTGCTCTGGTTCATAATCACGGAATCTTCCTGGTTGTAGCCCGAGTAACAGGCAATGGCGACGATGGCATTTTGACCGGCTGGCAGTTCTCTGAATTTTAGAAACTCCATGGATCGGGTAGTAGCGAGTGGCTTTTGAGGGTAGTAAAGAATGTTGGCCATGGTATCCATTCTGCGTGAGTAGTTGGTCAGGAAGAAGCCCATGGCTTGCTTGCCCATGGCAGACTGGTAGGTGTTACGGGGAGACTGATTCATTGTCAGCTTGCACAATAGTCAAAGACTATTATTGGTCGATTACGCACCTGGTTATGATCGGGGAAGGGAATGATACTAGCGCAGATGCCTAGCAGCATACTAGGGTGAATTTCGCAATGAGTATACATGTGAGTCGTGGGGTTGATTTTGGTCTTCAAACGACTGTTGGGACCATCCGCGTTGTCCTCGACCACTTGGCCCTGCTTTTGAAGCCGATAGATCTCAAGATCCTCGGGCGTCATACAAATCATGGCCGTCTCCTCTTCTTCGGCATCAAGGTACTCAATGACTCCGCTGTGAGCAAGTGATTCCCATGTGATCTTGTCGGCTGGGTTGTCCGGCGGGTTTTCTTGCTGCTCGCGCATCTCATTGACTGTTGCCTTTTGTAGCACAAGCGAGCCTTGAGGCACTATGCCATTTGCGCTTTGCTCCACGACGAACACGGGTCTCATGACTCTGCCGGCGTCGGAAAAGATTTTGAACTCGCGGTCTCGGATGTCACGGACAAGAGATACTTCATGGGAAATGACGTTTCGACGACGGGTACCTTGAACATCGGGTACCAAGATTCTCGGGTCCTGATGAACGCCAACCCAGACGCCGTTGAGAAAGACCTTGGTTGCGTTTGGATATCTCAGGGGCTCGTACTCCTCAAGGACTTCCATACCTCGTTGGATCATGTAGTCAATGATAGGCTCAGCAGGTGTGCCTACACTGACGTAGCACATGAGTGACAAGTTCTTGACGAGACCACAGGCTTGACCTTCCGGGGTTTCAGCAGGGCACACCAATCCCCAATGGGTGTTGTGTAGTTGTCGAGGTTTCGCCAGCTTGCCGTCACGGCCGATGGGCGTATTTGTACGACGAAGATGGGACAAAGTAGATGCGAAAGTATACCGATTCAACACCTGAGAAACACCGGCGGTCGAGCTCATGGCTTTCTTCTGGTCTCCCCAGTTACCTGTGGCCAAAGAATACTTCAGGCCGTTGGAAAGGGTCTGGGGCTTGACGCCGAGAGTCAGACTGAATTGCCGGTTCGACTCGACGCAGCGCTTCAGATGGCCAGACAGCTCCTGGTTCATGCGGCGAACGATGTTGCGGAAGAGTTTGGCAAGTAGAGGGCCCGCGAGATCGAGACGCTTCTTGCCAAAGTGATCACGATCATCGGTGTCACGTCGGCCCAACGCGCACTGGAGCAGCTTGTGAACCATGTAGCCCAGGAAGAACGCTTTCCGCGTCTCGCTGCCTTCGCTCTGCGAGATATGCGGCAGAGTTTCTTTCTGGAGGATGTCCTTGGCTGTCCTTACACGCTTTTCTCTCGGAATATTGTGGTTGCTGCCTCGCTTGCCGATAAAGTCGAGGGCAACCTCCCTGTCTTGAATGCAGAATGCCTCCTCGATGCATGGCCGCAACATCTCAAGCATCTGGCTATCGTTCCGGTCGTAGCAAATATGGTTAAGAATGTCCTCGTCGGAGACCACGCCCAGTGCTCGGAAGACAATGGCAATCGGCAGATCGGCCTTAACATAAGGCAGGCTGCAGTGAATAGTCTGACCATATCCGCCCTTCGCTGCGTCGCCTTTGCTATAAAGCTTCAGCATCATGCTGGAAATCAGTCGCGAGCCCTTCTCGAGAGCACTGCGAATCTCCGCCGTGTAGGAATAAGGACTTGGCTGGGCCTTCTTAAAGACTTGGACGATGTTGGCGGCCGATCGTTCCTGTGCGATAAGAACCTTCTCGCTTCCATTGATGATGAAGTAGCCCCCCTGGTCATAGGGACACTCATTCAACATGAATAAGTCGTCTTCCTGCTCACTGCTCAAGTGGCAAATCTTGGACTTGACCATGATGGGCATCCTTCCAATGAAGATCATGTCCTTCATGTCGTCAGATTTGTTCTTGTCGGCACCATAGTCCTCGCCACTTTCCTCCTCTTCCCACTCAAGCTTGGTGGGATGTTCGCCAGTGTTGGCGAGCTCGTCCTGCTGCTCCTCGTCGAGTTCGTTCAACGGTATGGGTTTCTCTACCGCAATCGAGACCTTCTTGGTGATCTTGACGTAGAGAGGACTCGCGTAGGTGAGGTTTCGATCACGACACTCGTATGGGAGTAACGTTGTGACTTTTCCGTCAGCTTCGGTAATAGAGGGGCGGGAGACCATGACAGTGCCAAACTTGACTTCATATCGGCGCAGGGCGATGACCTTGTCACTGTCGGACATGGGGTTCGGCTGATCTAGGGTGATTTGGGAGTACTCGTCAATGAGTTCCTGGACGGTAGAAGAGGTGAACTCGTCAAAAGAGTCAACCTGCTGGGAAACCAGACCCTTTGACTCAAAGAAAGACGAGATGACAGTCCAGCAGTCCTCAGGCGTGATGCTGGTGTCGTCTTCATCGACGTAGCCGTCGTAGTCGTATTCGTCGTAAACGTCGGCCATTTTTGCAGTTGGAGGCAGCGGCGCGCGTCTTTACGATCTATTGTATAGAACAGTGGGGTTTGGGAGTTGACTCGTGTTCGAAGATTGCGAAATCTGCCTTCCGCGTGTCGATGATGAAGGTGCGACTAGAGACGGGGGGTTGCGATCGATTGGGTAGTTAGTGGCAAGAGGTGGAAGACCACGATGATGATTAACAATCACGACGCAGAGCCCAGGCTGTTTTGCCTCTTCAGCTCGGTCGGAGCATTCGCGAAGGGGAAATGGAATCAAGGCCAGCTGTGAATTTTCGATGCCGGTCGATGGGGTGGTATCGATCTATAATGCGCCAGTGTCAAGCGGTGGTGATGGGCAGGAGCGATAAATAGTCAGCCTTGTTGGATGGTGGTTTTTTTTTCTCCCGCTTCCCAAATCCCGTCCGAGGCAGAAGGTAATTAGGCAAGAAGGGTCGGGAGGCTTGAGTGAACTCAGAACGCAGCAAGGGGGGCGACGCGCTAGTCTCTGTTAGTACAGAAGGATTACTTAGGCTGGTGGGCGTCCCACACTAGCTCCATTAGCACGTGACGTGGTGACCAATCCATTTTGACGGCGATGACCTTGAGGCAAGAATCGATACTAGAACCACCACCGTGTCAGGGAAAGGACAGCAACCTTGTTCTCGTTTGGGAAGCATCATCCTCCGTCTCAAGAACAGAATGCGTTTAAGATATGCCATGGCGCTAGATCGTCCTCAAACACATGTACTCGATTCCCACTCTCTTCTTCAGTTGGTTTCAACACGCCCGCTTTTGATACATATCAGTCGGAACCAACATGGTCAAGTAATCAACCAGATTCGGCACCGG